AACACTACCATGGTTATCTAGTTCGACCGGATCAGTTGTTTGAGATTGGAATATGGGATTACGTGATTAGGAGTTGTTCACTTTTGTGGCAGCTCGTGTGAGTCTCCTGGGTATAGGGCGTCATGTACTTGGAGGGAAAGAGGAAATATCACGAGTGATCATTAGCCACCACTAGCCAACCGTGCTGTGAGGCTGATGATCATGTGTGCGTGAAACTCAGCTACAGCAATGCTGTTTCACCTTATGCTATCATTTTTCTTTCAACTGCCAGGACCAACTGCCCCTGCCCGGTCGAGATTCAGGCCGGCGAGTTTCTCAGTGCGACCTGGCAAACAGGTCTGCAGGTTAGATGGATGAATCAATCCTTGGCAGTAAGATTGGCAAGTATAGAACGTGGCATTGAGTTAGAATCAGTACGCCGAGTGAGAACGCGTCTCTCCTGGATGAGGACGACGAGTCATTCTACGGTGATGCCCCCTGAGTACGTAGATAGCGAGAGTGATAGTGGCGATGACGGCCACAGCGATCCATGCGCGCCGGCGGTGGAGAAGCGTCCGCTCCTCCCGTCTGGCAGCGACGAAGACAAGAGTTACAATGACTTGAGGCAGGACCAGCCGCATGTCCAGGAAGCCCCAATTGCCGCAGCGATTGTGGACTGGCTGTCCATGGAATATGGCTGCCCTAGTGACAATCACTTTGCTGCGCTTGCCAAGGACCTCTTGAAACATGGTGTCATGTCGCTCCACCATTCGAAACGCCGCACTCGCCAATGTTGCAGCCTGCTCTTCGAATAACACATACTGGCTACCTCAGTGACCGCGGGATTCGCAGACACCCCAACAACTATGATGCTGCATACATAACAAAGTTTGACCCGCATCAGAGTGCATTATACAATAAGGAGAATTCAAGGAACTTGAAAGGCTGATGTCGATGCGAAACGCTGCCAGATGGTAGTTGACATACCATAAGACATTTTTCGAATAAAAAGTAAATTTCCAAAATTTCTCCCCTAGCTAAGGCCCATTTACTGCGATCATGGCTTATACTTGTAATAATTACAGTAGATTCGTACGCCCAAGAACATGGCGCCCAAGAACGTCCAGGCTGGAAATCTAAGAACGCCCCAGCCTGGATTTAAGAACGAACACCAAGATTTTTAAGAACGCGACATTTTTTGGTATTGCACGTTTCTGTATCTTGTCCGAGTACACGAAAAACAAGTCCGCAACCACATAACTCTTGTCGGGTCCTCGCGAAAACATCACCCAGTGCAGCGCTACATACTACACGTGCATGTAAAGTGTACAACCGGTACATGTAGCGCAAAGTGCATTGTACATGAGCGTCACGGGTCACGTTGAACGCGAAGATCGCGAAATAAGAACGTAGCCTGGGGCGCTGAAAAATAAGAACTTTGCTAGGCTGGCCCTCTGAAACCGCGTTCTTGGGCGTACGAGTCTACTGTATGTTTGTGACGCTTTCCTTTTGTCTTCCAGCAAGCAGGAGGTGTTCACCGGCTACCCTTCGACGTTTCTCATCGGCCAGAGCCTGTACCATCTGATTCACCCCGAAGATGCCAAGCAACTGGAACAGAAACACAGAACACGTTAGTCACACACACACACGCACGCACACACATATAATGTGTCCTTGAAAGAAAGCACCATGCATGCGGACTTAATAGAGAAATGTCAGTAGGTGAATCGTAAATGATTCGAGGGTATTGACCCGTTGCGCTTAAAGGGGAAGTTAAGCCTGAAATCAAATTTGCACCAATTGGAGTCTTAGGGGTGCTGAGTCGCATGGTCTTGGTCCGAGGAAGCTGAGACGCTCCCTTTCACCTTTTATTCCCAATCGAACTCGCCATTTGCACCAATAATGGGTGACTGCGCCCTACTAGATGGGGATTTGTATGCAAAATCTCACTAAAAGTGCTGTCGTTCTTATAAAAGCACGGATGACCGCGATCAGCCCCTTTGTTGTAGTCTTTTGGACGCTGAGTCGACTGGTTTTGGTCCGAGAAGGCTGCGATGCCACGTTCGGCCCGTATTCACTATTGAACATGGTTGAATAAGCGGTCACGTGCTAATGCGTACCCCTGTCACCTGGTCACTGTGCCTGCAGGCTACAACTTTCACACAAAGGTTCAACTCAAAGGTTCAAAAGGTTCAACTCGAGTGACAGGGACACGCTCAAACAGGCTTTGATTTTACACTTAAAACTTCCCCTTTAACATAAATTCATTATACGAGTCAGAACAACAGAGACCAATATATTTCTCGTGGCTCTGAGTTTCATGATACGTGGTTTGCACAGGAAAACCAAATCCTTCCATTGCACACGGTATATTGGTGAGCCACTAATACGCCACTGATGAGCCAAGTGAGTGACTGACAAAGCATCCTACCCATTGCTCGCTGCCGACGTTTCGGCGAATGAAACTTCATGCTACACGCAGTTTGATATTGCACTACAGGGGCGTCGGAAGGTATTTTAGTTTGGTACGGTCAGCCATCTGAAGTACAATTTACTCGTCGGGGAGTGGTGGCTGAGCCGATAATTTTGGAATTTTAGATTCCAGATCAGTGTATTTTGTTGATTCATGGGGTATCTGGGGCAAAAAAAGTGGTACGGTCCATACCGTAGTGACCGTACCGTGTGCGACGCCCCTGTACTAGTACTTCCACTGGGACGCGCAACGTGCAATATAGGATGTACTGTTAGTTTATTTTCCGGAATATTCGCTGCCCTTTCAACACTTGTATTTCACCCGACAAAGTCAGTGAGGCTTACACTGCGATGGTCAAACGAATGCCGATATACAGGGTGCATGTGATTGTCGGTATTGCGTGACACAAGATCTGGGTGAGCACCATGGTCCACTTGAACTATGTGTTCTTGTACACTTTCGATATCCTGTACTTGCTGTGGGGAACAATATTGTGTATTGTGCTCAGTCTTGCACCTGATCATTATCATTTACATGTACTTGCATGTGGGGTTTTTTTAAATAATTTTTTTCATGAATTTTGGGCCGTGTTGGTGCACGGCGCGGCATAATTGTTAAGTCTGCTCACTGTGTTGTCCTTGCAGTGGTGAACGATGGCGATGAGGACAGCATCACCATGTACCTGCGCTACATGCTGCCCAACTCCAACAACCTGTGGGTGCAGATGGTGGCGAATCTGGCCAGATCGGGAAAGACCTCTCGCCCGATGTACATCACTGCCACCAACTTTGTCGTGGGGTGAGTTGATATCTCCCTCCCCCTATTCCGTTAGACCTCACCATGTGCTTTGCTCTTGTACGTCAGTTTGGATCGAAACATGCTATCCCTGCAGAGAGCTGCATGGTTCCTGTAGAGAGTTTGGCACTGTAGAGAGGTAGAGAGGTGGTCACAGTACAGAGGTGGTCCCTTTAGAAAGGTGTTCCCTGTGGAGAGTTGCTCCCCGTGGAGAGAAGAGGAGGTATCAATGGAATGGTGTTCGTTGCAGAAAGTGGTGTCTGTGGAAAGGTAGTCATTGCAGAGAGGTGGTCGCCGTACAGAGGTGGTCCTTGCAGAGAGGTGGTCCCAGTACAGAGGTGGTCACTGTACAGAGGTGTGCATTTTCATGTTCATGTGTGTGTGTATATGTGTGTGAATGTCTTTGCTGTGCACAGAAACGTCAAACAAGACCAGTGGCATAATCTGAGCACTGAGCTATCCAATCATCAGGCGTTGGCTGCAGGCACTCAAAGCAGCAGTAGCCTGGCCAGTAATGCTGATGAGAGTGAATCACCTGCCCAAGTCGGCGGCGCCACTCTCGACTTGAGCCGGGCTTTAGTTGGTTCTAGCGAGAACCTTGCACTACCAGAGTCTCATCCACGCGCTACAATATCCCACTTGAGCAGAGTCCCGTCGGAGCAGCAACTGCACGCCGTTCACACACAGCAACAGCAGCAGCGGCCATCGGAGTTCCGCAGCCTGCTGGAGTCGAATCCCGGCAACCCCGGGGACCTTGTGTACCAAAGCTACCTGAGCTCCACCAACGCCGCCACAGACTCAGAGCTTGATAGGCAATCTGATGCTAATCCCCCGGCTGCCAAACGACCCAGGAAGGAATCCAACGCTTCCTCCCTTGGCCACCTGCACACTTCGCTGAGATCCAGTCTGAATGTCAATTCGGGAGATCTTGTATCACCCGACTCGGTTTTCTCCCCGGAGGTCTTCTCCGAGCTCTCGTCACAAGCGCAGGCGTCGTTGTTGGCACTTGCACGTCCTGCTAGCATGACTGTGCAATCACCCATGCTGCCCTCTCCAGTCGGTGCTGCAAGACCAGTATTGGTAGCGCAATCCCCGCGGGAATCCAACGTAACTGGCCTGTCATTCGCACAAGCCATGCCAAGACCACCTGCAGCAGCAGCAGAAGCAGCGGCCGCAGCTTTCAACGCTGCCTTGGCACGTCAGCTACAGACTCCCGCTGCCGCCGCGACCATCTCCACCATGGCCACTTGCATTTCTGCACCGTCTGCCGCCGCTACTGCTGGCACTGTGGGATCAGCCGGAGCAGGGCTTCTTAGCAGCCCGCATTTCAGCAGAAGCATGCTAGTCCCAGCACCAGCCATGTCAACTCACTTGATCCCATCACCTATAGCTGTAGCCGGCCTGACCACAGATGCTATTCTGGCCTCTGGCATTCCGACATCTGCTACATCCGGCTCATCGCTTCCTGGTGCTGCGGAATCTGGCACCTTTACCCATCTGCTGAGCAGCCTGGAAAGGCCACACGAGGATTGGCAATCCGACATGTAACGACGCCACTATTGTTCTTGGTCTGCCTGGCTGATTGCAGTCATAGACGTCAGCAGCACAGCTCGTGTAGCACCTGCACACCCATTGTTGTGTTGTTGTCTTGTCTTGTCTCCCCTTCTTCCGTAGGTAACAACAAAACACGTAGTCCGTCAGAATGAAGAATACCTGAAACTTGCCAGTCTCGTTGCTACTCAGTCTTGTTATATAACGTTCGCATTCCGAGCAACGATGCAGTGTGCTTGTCGTAGACTTCCCCTTGCAGTTCTTCTGTTTCGAACTGTTTACTGTCTGCTTTGCACAAACTCGTCGTGGTCGGCTGAGCTACCTAACTAACTGTACATCATGTGGTACACTGGTTCACTGTATGGTCATGATACTTCCTGTCTCTTCGTTGATACCCATCCCCAGTCACAGTCTGGTTGATGGTAAGTCACATATATAACTGACTTTGATTCTTCACTGATACGCCATGGCCTGATGACCCAATATAGAGGTTGGCTTTTTTTCTCTTTGAGTTTGAGTGTAATTGCAGCGTGTTGTAGATGTGATTATTATGAGTGTTCCTGAATACAGTGTACAATCATCATAAGGAGATGCAGTTTTGACTTTGTTTTGAGTGATGCAATATGCTCTTTGGTTTCTTTCGATACGTGCTGATCTGTTGGGCAATGTTTTTCATGCTGTGCTGAGTTTGTTGTTTGAAGATATTGGTCGCTTGCATTTGCATGCATTCTGATGCACATTCTCGCTTTGATCTGCGATATACAAGCACAAACATGTTATAAAAGTGTCATGCAAGTGATAGTAGTGGTTGGGCTCTCGTCGATTCAAATTCGTTATTTGTCGTGCTAATGCGAGTTGAATAATGCAAATATAGAAAACATTTCACACCTCTGGACGGTATTTGCGCAGACGCTGGAATGCATTCAATCGCTATTGGCTCAAATGCACGGTTTGGCTAGAACTCATGCTATTTTCCTCGTGCATGTGGCTATTGTTCTTAGCTAAACAATATAGCCACATCCGCGGGCGAATAACGTTGAACTGGCTCACGAGTTCAGCCCCAGTTTTCAACTTCTTGCAATCCATTGATGATAGCATGATGAACATCATTACAGTCGTCCCTCTCTAATCCGGCACCTTTTGCAGCGGCATTTTCTGCTGGATAAACAAGGGTGCTGGATTATCCTGTCCCTCCAGGAAATCGCGATTCCACGGATGCAACAAATTTCGCGATTTTGGTCCAAACCCGCGATTTTCCGCGTTTTTTGTTGTTTTCTGCACTATATCTCTCGTTTTTATGCACTTTTCACGCAGTTCTTTCCATGATTCTATTATTATTATTATTATTAAATTTTTGATAGGATTCTGTAGGTTATTTGCACAGTACGACTCCCGAGTAGATATACATGTACGATGCAACAAATTTCGTGATTTGGTCCAAATCCTCAATTTTCTGCAAATAATTCCGCGAATTCCTGGCAAGTTCTGCATCATTCCGCACTTTTCGTCGAATTTTTGTTACTTTCTGCCGCAATTTCTTGCGCAAGTTTTCGAGAGTTTTTTCCGCAAATTCCCGCAGGGACAGATTATCAAATCCTGTCCTCCAACCCGGCCCACCTACTAACATACATGTTTGTGTCGTACGACAAAACGCAGGGATTTTCCGTGTCAATCCAAGTACTTTGTGGAGTGCATGTCTATCTATGCAGTGCATAGGATATTCCCATGCAAGTGTATGTTACGTGTGTAGAATGCTCCCTGATAAGTAGTTCATGCACTGACCCAACTGTGCTCCGGTACGGTATGTGGTGTACAACTGCTGGATTAGAAAACCGAAGTATGTGCAGTTGAGCGATTTGTTGCAGAAAATCGCTGCTAGGGGCGGAATTCAAGTGCCGGATTAAAGCGTACAAAATGAACTGAAAAAATCCGTTTTGCCAAAAAGTGAGCTGGTTTGGAAGGGTGCTGGATAAACAAGTGCCGGATTACAGAGGGACGACTGTATATTGGTCCTCCCCAGTTGTTTAGAAAATAGTTTCATAGAGAAAAGTAGGGTATTATAAATGTAGGCTTGCATGTACATGTACAATGTCATGTAGCTCTCTAGCTCTATAGCTCAACTCAGCAAGACTTCGATGCTTTAGTTTTAGCAGATTCAAAAAATATATTCTTTGGAAAACATTGAATTGGGGTGAATAAGTGACGTCCTGCTAGACTAGTGTGGACAGTAGTACCGGTAGGTGTACTGTATTATGAATTGCAAGAGTCCACGCGGCAGTAGCAAATCATCACACATCCCTCCTCTAGTCAAATGCTTTGTCAGTGTTCACTTGACTTCACTGTGATAGGTGCAACAAGTCACTCTGCGCTCCCCTGATCAGACCTGTCGACGAAGCACTGTTCAACGTCGCGACATCATGTTGTTGCTATCCACCATGTCTGCTCACGCCAATGATCCCGCTGTGCCACGACATAGGACAATGGTAAGTCCAGTGTTTGTGGGCGGGTGCAGGGAGACTAGGTGCTTTCCAGGCGTGGACGTGTGCCGGGAAAGTATAGATAAACATCTGAACACTATAAGCCGAGAAGCATGTTTCGCTAAGCGTAGAATCATCAGCTTCTCAAGTTCTGTGCCACTGAGACATGGCCAATTCCTGGCAACCATGTCTATGATCTGAGGGGAGACAGCAAACGAACAGAGAACAGCATAGGAATAGTGATTAAGGGCTATGATCTGTAACCCCCTCCCCCACCTTTTCTCTCTCTCTCTCTCCCTCTCCCTTTCTTTCTCCCCTCTATAATTATACTCTGACAAGACCAGACCAATGGTGTACTAGTAAACTGGATGCTAGGGGGACATGAGCAAGGGTGTGTGGGGACACTCACCACAGTCACAAAACATTCCGATGCCACACTCAGTGTGAATGCAGCAGTACATGAGGTTGGAGAGCATGGATGTTTGTTGCTAGCGTGGCCAAGGGCATCCGGAGTAGAGAGGGTGTTCCGCACTTCTTTCCACACCATTCTCCCTATGCAGAGGCCAGCCTGTCACAAACGATCCTACCTGCGCCACTCAGATGATTACTGATGGCAGCGTGTGTGTCATAGGTATGCCCTGGACGGGTGGTTGTCATTTAATGTACCTTTGTATAGCTGTATAAGAAAGTATTCTTTCTAGACCAAAGAGTGGTATATTTGATTAATAAAGATAGAAATATGCACGATACTTCTCGTCTGGAGAAGTATCGTAAATATTTCTATCTTTATTTATCACAAAGGCACACAATGAAAACCTTGGCAAATTAATTCCGTTGTGACTCAGAGTTTCATGGCTGAACCAATCATCAGACAACTGTGTATCTTTATTTATCAAATATACCACTCTTTGGTCTAGAAAGCATACTTTTTTGATATTACAATGAGAGTGGATAATCAACGGCTTGTCCACCAACTCTTCTGACTTTATTTATTTTATTATTTATTTATTTCTGCACCTCGTGGCATGTCAAGACAGCCAATTGAATTGAGGAGAGGGTGAGACCAACCACGGAAGAAGAGAAAAAAAAAGAAAATTAAGAGCACGTACACAAAGTGGGAAGGGATTAGCAACTTACAAAGCAATGGGATGCTCAGCGAGCTATGCAGCGGAAGTGGTGACTGTGACTTTGTTTACTGGGAGATACTGAAGTGCTGTCTGACGAGGGTACGGAATTTGGGCATATCTGGAGCTTGTCTAACACTGGGAGGCAGTTGGAGCCACGTGGAGTAGGAGGAAAAGAAAGGGGAATTTACGAATAGGGTAGACCTAGCTAGGGGGAGACGAACGCAGCTTCGGGTGGTGCCACCTGAATTGAACCAATTAAGGGACTGTAAATGAGCAGGGTGCTGGTCAAGGAAAATTGAATGCGCCAGGGTGCACTTGGAAGCATCAAGGTAATGTTGCAGAGTGGTAGTGGATGCAGCAGCATACAAGTCTAGATTTGAGGTATAACGATCAGTACGGAATATGATTCGCAGTATACGGCGATGGAGAACTTCTAATTTACCTATGTGGGTTTTGTTAATGGTGGACCAGGCAGGGAAGCCGTACGTGAAGAGGGGAAGAATGTATGATTTATAAAAATTAATCCGGCAATTTTTGGGCAAATGGGACAAGTGACTTTGGTGTTTGTATAGCTGTGCTGAGCTGCAATGTGAGTGCTGGGATGAATTATATTTTTGGTTTGCTGGTATGCCGCTGGCACTATAAAGCTAGATAATTATTAATTGACCGGTGGGAGAAGTACAAAGCCTGTGATCTACTGGCAAAACACACACATACACACACACACACACACACACACACACACACACACACATACAAACACACACACACACACACACACACACACACACACACGTGTATAGACACACATGGACCGTGCAACTCACACGGATACACACACACACACACATACACTCATGTGTACACATTCATACACACAAACACACACACACACTGTACTGTACTGTACTTGTTGCTCACTACCAAATACTGGTCACGTGAGTCCCCCCGGGAGAGGGGAGAGAGACTCAAAAGGAATCTTGGAAAGATGACTCAATTGGTTATTGAACCGCCCAACGGCCGACACCCCCTGAAATCCCCAAAACTCTGGGTGGACTTGAAAATGATCCCACTTATGGGCTCTCCACACCTCAGTAAGTGGGTGAGGACAAGGTGCAGAAAAAGGATTTACGGCATCAGGTATCCGCCCCGGGATCCAACTGCGGTTACCCCTGCCCCCAGTGAAGGTAATAGAGAGGTTCTGCATAACGAAAATTCGAACGAAGTTTCGCGACAGGCCTTGCGAAAATGTGTACGAATTTTTGCACGAACTTTGTGTTCTGCACATTTTCGTAGTTTGTATGCGCCAAATGCACGTACGCCATGACCCAATCTCACGAAACTTCCTACGAAAGTTCATTTCACGTTCCCTGCAAGTTTCGCGTCCAAAGTTGCGAAAGTTCGTGCGAAGTTTCTCACTTCGTGACGTAGAGCGAAAGTTCGTACACATTTTCGTTTTGCAGAACCTCTCTAATATTTGCTACTAGTGCGAGTGGCTAAATCAGAGTGGATCTGATAAAAGCTTCACTAGCACCATTGATTACACAAGAGTTAATCTAGCCAGAAGCAGTCCATGTTTAACAGGTATGTATACTTCAAATAGAAAGTATACGAACCCTGGAACCAACAAAGGTGGCAGGTACAACATTACACCTTCAAGCAGCCGAGCCTGTCGGCAACAGACCCAACACAATCAGGCATAAGTGTACCTACCAACCGAACTAGCTGGCACACGCATACACACACACACACACACACACACACACACACATACACACACACACACACACACACACACACACACAAAATGACACACATACACACGCACACACACAAAATGACACACATACACACGCACACATGCAACAATTCCAATACAACGCTTCATTGGCAAGGAGCTTCGTTTCCGTGCACATACCCCAGCATCAGATAGCGTTGGCAGAGTCGGGATTTCTTCACGGACACCTTGCGCATGGCGTCCAGGAAAGCATGTCCGTCGGCGTTCTCGGCTTTCCGCGTCCACAGCATCATCACGGCTCTGAAGAAAGAGCAGCGGTAGGACGTGGCCTCGTTGCGTGCCGCAGTCTCGCCAGACGGATATCCCACCGTTTCCAGGATGATGTTGGCCAGTCTGCGCTGCTCGCCCAGCTCCAGCATACCTTCCAGCTGCTCGTAGACCTCATCCAGTCTGTGTGCAGGCGCAAGCGAGAAGTTGATATCACTGCAGTATGTACATGTTGATCACATGAAAACAGTCCAATTGGCAACAGAAAGTGACGGAAGGAGAAATTTTATGCGGCTTGGTCCTCTTCTGGAACTTAAATTTCATCATAGAAGCACTGACATGGAGATTAGGCTGATAAACCAGGGGAAAGAGATATACGTGTAACTCGCTCACTGACTTGCCAGTTTGAGCACTCTGGCAAGGTACGTTCAGGCCTGGTTTAAATCTGGCTTTGGAAATTTTATTTTCATTTCTAAAGCTTTCTCGTTACTCCGAGTTTCATGTTCAAAAACACTCATCAGCCGTTTTTTGAAACACGAAACTCGGAGTAACGAGAAAGCTTTTTGGTCTCTGTTGTTCTGCCTTGTGTAGTACGCTCTGCCCTTGTTAGAGTATTGAGCACTATTTGCAGCAAGGACTTCAGACACTTTGTTTTTCATTTCTATCATTTCTACCAGGCTCATTTTGTCTTTGCTGCGCTGATGAGTCCACAAAGGACGAAACAGTTCTGTCCGCAGATTGAGCATGTGACTAATTATACATAGACAGGCAGACAGACAGACAGACAGAGATACAAACAGACAGACAGACAGACAGACAGACAGACAGACAGACAGACAGACAGACAGACAGACAAACAAGACGATATTGTCACCAACCATCCAGCAAGAGTGGAGCCTTCTTGGACAGGCACAGTAGTGAGACCAGTTGTTCCTGCTTCTGCTGCTGACGCTGATGATGATACGAACCCCTCACCAACTGCGTCTGATATTTGAACTGCAGGATCAGTGAAACGCATGAATATGGATAGATATGCTTCAATTGGCGAACATACAAGGATATAATTATGATTGCCTGCTCTCTCTATCTCTCTCTCACATACACACACACACACGCACTCAGACATGTTCACCGCGGAAGCGATGATAGCGAACAGCTATGGGGCATAGCAAGTCACTTGTGCTGGAATTACACCATTAAAATAGCTTGCAAGGCTGATGAATTGACCACCACTAATTTTAGCCTGGTCTCTCTCACACATATATACGCACACACACCTGGCTTCAAAGGAGGGGGGGGGGGCGGCACCACACCCCTGTGAAAACGTGGCACCCCACTAGCCATTTATCGATTTTTGTGTTTTCAGGCAATAGGGCTTGAAAGTGATGACGTCAAACACGGCCAGGGAGTAGTAAGTTGACATCAGATTTCTATTTTGGATCCACTAAGGTGTGACTTTGCTATTGCCTCAGTATGTGGGTGCATAGCAACCCACTCATTTCGTATGCAGGGGTGACTTTTACTTCGCCACCAGTTGTAACCCCGCCCCCAGTAGCTAAATCAGTCAGTTTCACTGGTTACATCACCTTGCTGTGAGTAAGACGGCTTGAAATGTGCTTGGATCCATACAAAAACTGGATCCAATTTTTGAATTTTTGAAATTGTTGCTATGCTGTGACGTAGCACTTTCAAGCCCTATTCAACGAAAATGCAGTCGATAGTCACCAACAGAGGGGTCACAAAGGCATACGTGTCCTTGTGAGGGGTGATTTCGAGGGTTTCCTCCGGTATTAAAGTTTCATTTTGTATGCCAAGACGTTTTGGAAAATGGAAAAAATGGGTTACAGGTAATTGTTTCCCCTTCCCGCCGCCCCTGCTATTGTGACCTTGTTAGAACCCTGCACGCGCACACACACACACACACACACACACACACACACACACACACACACACACACACACACACACACACACACACACACACACATACAGACCGTGACACTAAAAAGCCAACGAACCCTCGAACACACTAAAATCCCCTGGAATCGCAGCATCTGGATGACCATAAACGTTGAATGACCCTGGAATAGGCGACCACCTCTACACTAAGACCACATTTTGAAGATCAGAGCGGTCGTCTTAGACAGGTTTCACTGTACAGCAAAACCCGTCAAGGCGACCACTCGGATAAGGCGACCACCTGTCCTAGAAGCCCATTGAAACCACGACCAAGGGATGTTATTTCCAGTCTAATGACCCTGGATAAGGAGACCACCTGGTTCCAGAGACCATGTTTTGAAGGTCCCTTGTGCAGTCGGCTTAGACAGGTTCACTGTATTGTGAAAATAATTGTATTTTTTTAGTATACAATCATGTCCTGTACCTGCCATTATGTGCTGAACATGGTCCCCGAGTGGTCCGTTGAGTCTTTCATCAGCTACCCTTCCAAACCCGGATTCGTGCAGGGCGTTGAACAAAGCGCCCACGTTGTGGCTATCACAAGCCTGCAGCCACTTGCTGAGCATCTTGCGACATCGCTGGGTGTTCCTGCTTTCCTCTGCGAACGCATCAATGTCGTAGTGCTTGAAGTATCGCTCGCTGCTTGTCTCGCTGCAGGTCAGCATGCGTGCGAGGTCATCCCACCTTGCCGCCACAATCCGAACCAGGTCCTGCACGAGGGCGCTGTCGATGTTGAGCCTGTGCCACCAGTAGACGCGCACCACCTCTCCCGACGCCCTGTGCATGACCCAGGGCGCGTGAACACCGTGATCAGCACCACTCCCACCCTGACTGGCATTACGTCCTCCACTCATGCTAGCTGTGGCTCCTTGCACTTGTAATCCGCTGACCAGCGTGAGTTTAGCTTAGCCTGGCGGTTTCCCCGATACGACCGAACTACTACATGCACAGTCGCTACTGGTCTACACAGTGACTTGATGATCTGCTCAAAAATTAATACTAGTTGCTTTAAAAGAAATTGAGGGAAAGAAACTATCGTCGCACGGTTATCTACAATGTGAGTATGACTTATTTACTCTGTACTTGTTCTTTTGAAAAGACTAAGTCATTGCAAGAATCATTCTGTTTCTTGTAGATACGGCATCACTTGTGATTCAATGAAGCAGCCTGACTCCCGGCCTGAGCTGAGGCTAAGCTAAGCCTAGCGCCGGGGTCTTTTTTTGCTAAAAAAAAACAGTGCTGTTTTGTTTTTGTTCCAATGAACCAAACACATTGCGTATGACAGCATGCATGACAGTCGGTGAGTGTCACTGACTCAGTGACTGTGATTCCAGTGTGAAGTAGTTCGTTGGTGTCGTGTATTAGTGCTGTACAGTCTACCACCATGGTCTACGTCTACCTGGTCTACAGACTGTGCCTTTTGCCAAGTTTTGGACGAGCTGTTTTGAAGGTACCGTATTTCCGCAAATAAAAGGCCGTCCTCGTATACAACGCCTTCCTCGTATACAAGGCCGGGGCAGGGGGCGATTGAAAAAATAAAAGACCGTCTCCGATTAGAAGACCGGGCCTACTAAATGAGTCATTGTTCTTGTGTTAAAAATAGAAGACCGTGCTCAAACTGTGGGAAAAAAATAGAAGACCGTGCTCAAACTGTGTAGAAGAAAATTGAAAAACGGGGGTAAAACTGTGTGGCGAGAAATAAAAGACCGGGGGTTAAACTGGGTTGAAAGAATAAAAGACCGTCCTCGAATACAAGACCGTCCTCGATTATAAGGCCGGGTTAGGACGAGGTTGAAAAAATAGTAGACCGGCCTACTATTTGTGGAAATACGGTATGTTGAACTATTTTTAAACTAGTTTACTTGTGATGCAACATGACATGTATACACTAGCTACATGTAGTGAGTCCCCTCACACTGTTTTCAATCATATACATGATTAAAAATATACTCAATCTGCGGACAGCATGCTGTTTCGTTCTTTGTGAACTGCACAGAGAAAATGAGGCCGAACCTGATAGTGTAATAGGTCGCCGAGTGGTATCAGGAGGCACACACAAGAAGACTGGTTAATATTATGTTCTTCGGCTCAATCTGCCTGAAGTTATGTATACAACTGCTCCGGCTCAATCTGCCTGGAGGGACTCTGAAAGGAATACAACTGCTCCGGCTCAATCTGCCAGGAGGGACTCTGTTCTGTTCTGAAGAAATGAGTAAAGCATGGCAGCTTTTATAGGGCGAAAAGGAAGGAGATCATCATAGAGTCTGCATGAGCCATGAGTCATGAAAAAGGGCAAAAGTCTGTTGTGTCAGTCCAAACAGAACTTGGGAAGGCATAGCAACAGTATCTAAATGTATAAGGATGAAAGAAGCAAACGGAACTTTGGAGGGGAACAGAGGCCAGGGAGGGCATTAGCAAATGGATGCAAACCGGATCTAGAAAGGGTCATGACTGTCCGCATGACCTCAGTCAGGGTCAGGGAGGTACAGTGTACTAGTACAACATGTGGGTGTTAGTTCTACATGACATTATAGGTGTGATGATCTAAACTAGCAAAGATATGTAGTATGCAATCCAGCAAGCGCAAGAGAAACACAAGTGGTGAGAAGTGATATAATTAGCTTTGCAGGCTTGTCAGCAAAGGAGTGACAAGAGTCATGCAGTGCATGTACGTGTACATGTGACATGATTAGAGGTCAGTAGATATAGATGTAGTAGTCAGCTACAGTTCAGTACTAGCAAGGCAGGGATACTACACCCTCCCTTCCTACAGATAATCACGCCCTCGTGATTTTTCAAAAGTATTAATGAAGGCTTGGTAGACTGATAATAAAGTAGGGACCCTGTGTGTATAATGTGTGGAGGACCTGTCTCTCTGTGGAGCGGGAAAAATTTCGGACGGTAAAAAAAGGATGTGTAAAATCGCGTCACTGTGGACGGTAACAGTTCTTCATTCGCGTCTCTCTGGGACGGTACAACGGGAAAAGTAGACTCGCGCATCATGTGGCGGTATATCATGTTACATGGACTGGTTATTTGAGTGCGTGCTTGCAGGGTATACAGTATTTTGGGTCTGAAACTGATTGCTTGGTCGTTACGGGGTGGACATGATCGGGATGGGTAACGAAAAGGCTAGGACACTTTGTGGTCAGACCGGGGAGAAAGCGGTTGTAGGGGAGCTTCAGTGCGGCGAAATGTTGAGTGATCTAGAACTGTGTACTGCATGTATCTGCACGTACATGAAGGTATATTATGGAGAGTTGTGAGTCCTAGGCTGTTGATCGAATGGTGGGACGGTGACTGGGAGTGGGATTGTCTATGGGATGGATTTGCTGAAGGGACGTGGAGGGCCTTGTGTATCGCGTGTAGTGTAGCAATCAAACTAAAGGTGAGAGATGTTAGCAGGGGAACAACTTTGGCAGCAGAACGAGTTAGTGAGAGGAATATGGCAGCAATGATCATGATCACAGAATGGAAACAATCACGGGATGGCGGAGCTTGCATGGTAGGGGTGGCATATGTACTCACGTTAGTAACAGGTGCATTTGAAAGGGTTGGCGATAGAGTTGCGATACAGCAAGTAGGGTGACATACCTGGGTTGAAGTGAAGATGGGTCGTGTCGCGCGAGGACGATAGCAATACGCTATGTCATGGCCAATTTTCTTGCAGGATCGGCAATAGGGACGGAGACGAAAGGGCCGACGTCGCTTGGGTCGTATATATACCGGTAGTACTACAGGGACATGCCGGAGGGCATGAGAGCTCGCTGGAGAAGTATGGTGATCCACTTTGCCGGAACGCGGGCGTCGCAGCGTCGATCTGCTGTTCGGATGGACTGGCGAACCGAGATTCTGCATCGTTCTCAGGTCGTCATGGGTTCAGAAACGCGGTGGGGGCCAATTAACGGTGCTTTCCGCTCATCGTTCGAGGCTGCCATCAATGTAACAGGTACTAACAACGAGAATGACGACAACGATTGACTAAGGATGGTAACAACATAACAAGACTGAAGTTGCGTAAACAGTAGATCTACAGGGACGAAATCGCGCACCGCTGCCACCAGTGTAATAGGTAGGTTCGAATCTTACAAAGGAACGTCGTTAACTTTAACCACCGCTGCCGCCAGTGTAATACAGATACTAGGTGGGTTCGAATCTAGCAATTATAAAATTGAACCACCGCTGCCACCAGTGTAATAGGTCGCAGCAATGAAAATAAAATTTCCAAAGCCAGATTTAAACCAGGCCCGAACCGGTACCTTGCCAGAATGCTCAAACTGACAAGTCAGTGAGCTCTGCGTAATGCAAACAGCAAAGGCACTACCCCACATGAGAGTGCTCAACTACTACAAGAGCAGGAGCGAAATATGATTTTAAAAATATACGATGAAAAATATCAATTGTGCACTCATAATCATGTATAAACAATTAAAATGAAACAATTCCAGAACGTTTTCGTGTGACCATCATCAGTGGAACATCGTCACATAGTAAGAATCACTAAAACAACCAGTTATATAGCTAGAGTAACATGAAAAGAAGCGTGAGAATGCAGCACAGCTAGCGGTTATGCATAGGCCTTGACGGATTATGCTAGCATAATTTTTCGCATAATTCCTACCAAAATCGAATAATCGCATAAGTCGAGGCAAATTGCATACGAATCGCATAAAATTGGAATAATCCGCCTGTTCGCATCAAATTCCATACAGTTGTCATGTTCTACAAGACAGTAGATGTACTAGGAAGTCGTAGGTTTACGACTCCCTTGATAACATGTCCAGTCCACTACAATCAGCGACGGTCGTAGCTAGGTCGGACGGTGCGTTGACCCCGTTGAACTTCTGCTACTACAGTACAACGCCCTCTACAAAAAAATTCCCCTGCTATTTTGCACAGAACCATCATAATACATAATACATTAGCAGCATATGTGAGCATAATGCGGCATAATATGATAACTTTTAGCATAAAAATAGCATAATTCTGCAATTTTTTCAGCAATGCGAAAAGCATAATTTCACGAAAATATTAGCATAATCCGTCAAGGCCTAGTTATGCATAACGCGTGTAGTGTGGACCTTTGCAGTCTACCATTCTCAGATACACTGCAAAGGTCCACACTACACGCGTTATGCATAACCGCTAGCTGTGCTGCATTCTCACGCTTCTTTTCATGTTACTCTAGCTATATAACTGGTTGTTTTAGTGATTCTTACTATGTGACGATGTTCCACTGATGATGGTCACACGAAAACGTTCTGGAATTGTTTCATTTTAATTGTTTATACATGATTATGAGTGCACAATTGATATTTTTCATTGCTATTTTACGACTGTTGTCTCCTCGTCGGTTATTTAAAAATATACGAAATAAAATATATATTATATATTTTATTTTCATTGCTATCAGGTTCGGCCTCAATTTCTCTGTGCAGTTCACAAAGAACGAAACAGCATGCTGTCCGCAGATTGAGTATATTTTTAATCATGTATATGATTGAAAACAGTGTGAGGGGACTCACTACATCTAGCTAGTGTATACATGTCATGTTGCATCACAAGTAAACTAGTTTAAAAATAGTTCAACATACCTTCAAAACAGCTCGTCCAAAACTTGGCAAAAGGCACAGTACAGGGGACTGAGTCTGTAGACTGTAGACCAGGTAGACGTAGACCATGGCATGGTGGTAGACTGTACAGCACTACACCAACGAACTACTTCACACTGGAATCACAGTCACTGAGTCAGTGACACTCACCGACTGTCATGCATGCTGTCATACGCAATGTGTTTGGTTCATTGGAACAAAAACAAAACAGCACTGTTTTTTTTAGCAAAAAAAAGACCCCGGCGCTAGGCTTAGCTTAGCCTCAGCTCAGGCCGGGAGTCAGGCTGCTTCATTGAATCACAAGTGATGCCGTATCTACAAGAAACAGAATGATTCTTGCAAGTACAAGTACATTGTAATGACATTGTGTTCTGAATCACTCATGCTGTATGAGTCTATGACTATACATGTACTACTACAGTAAACTTTTCTAATTGTCCGCAAACTCCAACGCAGCCATTTACACATTTAGAAAACTTCAATTTTCAACTCCAAACTCCAAAAACGGTCTCTTCACTGCGATTCAAATACTACATTACACGAAATTAAAAACTCAAATTTACATAACACCAAATTTTCGGGCCTGGCCCGGCCATCATCAGGGTAATGTTTCTACTAATGAATGAAATAATATGCTGATGAAGGGCCAGGCCCGAACATTTGGTGTACTGTAATTTTGAATTTGAATCGCAGTGAAGAGACTGTTTTTTTCGAATTCGGAGTTGAGAAGTGAAGTTTTCTAAACATGTACTAGAACACAAAAGAATCCAAGGACTTAGGTTGGCAAGAATCCATTACTAGACCTTGTGTTGACAAGACTTTGGATGTGCAATGACTTGTGTCCAAAAATTATCCAGATCTGCACCAAATATGATATACAGTCAAACCTCTTTAGGACGAACACCAAGGGACCGATGGTATTTGTTCGTAATAGCGGGAGTTCTTCTTATCCATATTTTATACCCAGTGAATACACAGTGATTTATCCAACGGAGCTATGAACACTAGTTCTTCTAAAGCGAAAGTTTGTCTTATCAGTGTTCTTCTTAAAACTAGGTTTCACTGTACTTTGAAGTATGATCCTGGAATTATTTCGCCGTGACAGACACCCATGCAGCAATTGTCATCAGCTGCACACTCTGGGTTTCATGTACTCTAAGTCTTGACTTGAGGCAAAGTAAGTTGAGCCACAATGACCTGGCAGAAAAGAGCGGATTATACCTAAGCCAATCAATCATATTCCTCAGTGGCCTCTGTAGGGACCTGCCTAAGCATGTTTTAGGGTGTCTAAGCCAGCTCAACCAGTGCAAACAAAAGGCTCCTAAGGGTTTAGGACAACCTGGAAACCTCAACAAAGCACACACTTGCATTTGAAGACAGTGTGTAACAGTACATTATGCACTCTTGCCAGTCTTGGTATGGCTAAACGTCTGTCTTTGAAGACATTAAAAAAAAAGGACTAAAGTGTGGGCCAGTCACTCCGTTGGTGACCTCCACAATGTGATCTTGTGTTGTAAGTACTTTCACACCGTGATTGATCTTTGTGGCTGGGCCAAAATCCATTGGGATGTTGCTGAAATTGACAGCCCCGCTACCACAGCCGAATACATTCAGTCGCATATCAAGCACCAGTTTGTACAGCTAGAGGATAACTTTACTAAATCTCAAATAGTAGATCGACAGACTGCCAGGGGCCCCATATGTGTTTCGATTCGGAGCGAAATCCTTGAAGATGTTTTGGACAATAGAAAATGTACTCATATGTACATGTGCCATACTTCCGTATTTCCGTACTTCCTGGTCTAAAGTGCCGAGTTCCTATTCTGGTCGGCGTGGTCGCTGCTTATGGTGATATTGATTGTGTGCTTCTCAATAATATATACATGTACATGTATTGCGCATCAGATGTAGCAGAAACTCTCTAGTGATCAGTATGTACATATACATTTGCTTCAGGCCATGGGTGGTATAAATTATAGAAAATACTCCTAAAAAAACAAAATAATAAAACAAGATGTGGTCATATGCCACGCGTATAAAACTTTGAGTGCTATCAATAGTGGCAGCTCCCAGGCATTCAATAAAAATGGAAAGACGTCCGTGCCATGATATAATAAATCATTCCGCTTTTTCAGCTAGGATAGTAAAGCAGCATCTTTTGCAGTGCTTCGATATTGAATATTTGTGGATAGGAGATGAATAGCGTGCTTAGCGCGAGTATGAAAGATTTCAAAGATAATGAGATAGAACTGAGTACACATTGCAGACAGGATGGAATGAGTTATTTGATGTTACTCCGAGTTTGACGTCAAAGGGCGACAATAATAACTTGTACTCTTGTATTCTTGATATGAACGAATATAAAATTCATGATAAAACTGTGATGTTTATCAGGGTTGGTGAAATCTTGCTCGAACGTGGTGAGGCCATCATTGTTGAGTTCGGACCTTGAAAGTGCAAAGGGACTATATCCCGCTTTGTGCAACACTAAGAACCAGGCATGACGGGATACACGCGGAGGGCACGTTGGTGTCGTTGCGAGGCTTGTTATCGCTTCAAATGAGGAACGCGCCGAACCAGGTGTGGTGATGGCCAGTCCAGATGTGTCGTTCTGTCTGGCCGGACTTAAGTATGCGTACGCTCAGCTTCTGGCCGGCCTTGAGACGGTAGACACCGGACGTGGCCGTGGACTGGGACGTGCCGACGCTAGCACCGCCGACCGCAGCGCGCCGATCGTCAATGTACACAAAGTGACGCACTCGATTGCCGCTCTCCTCCGAGTTCCACACCTGCGAATACACGTAGTAGTTGCCGGTGATCGGCACGATCAGCTGGCCGCGCGTGTAGCGGAAACCGCCCTCCATGTGGCTTTGTGCGTGGCTGGGATTCCAGATGTCAGCCGCTCCTGCAGGTGAGAGCAAGTAAACACAAGCAAGGGCAAGGTTTTATTAGAGCGACAGTTTCAAGCAAGCTGCCTAGCGACAAGGTGCCTGGCAACATGCTGCCTAGCAACAACCTGCCAAACTAATTCTCCCACCAGCAACTGCACCAGAAGTCAACCTGTCTGTTAAAGCACTAATTTATTCATTCTGTTTCATTTGAAATGCAACCGATCTCCATGGCAGCTCTAGTTCTGCACCCACACGGCTTGGAACTGATGCCCATTGTACATGATTGTACATGTACATTGTATGGTTACGTGACTGTGCTGTGGCCTATGCAGCTGGCCTAGTGCCAGAGTAGTGGTGAAGGATACAGACTCAGTGATGATCGCAAACTGTGTAAATGTATGATCACCCGGGTACAGATGTCTAGGAACATAGACATTGCTGGTGCCTAGGTAGCAGTAGTTTACAAATACATACAGACTCTGGAGCTCAAACATATGTACATGTACATGATTGTGTACACATTACCGTCAATGTCACAGTATGTGGCCGCTAGTATGGCTACCGAGGTGTGCTATACATGTAATTGTAGTATACTTCTCTATGGAGAGTGCGTGTGATGAATCCGATTTAATATCCATTGTTACATGACTGTACTTACCAGGGTGCGTTATGTCGGTGACCTTCTGTGCGCCACCTTCCAGATGAGCTGATGCTCTCCTAAGGCGATTCTCGATAGCTGCAAGAAACAGTGCGGAGTAAACAAACCATTAGGCCTATGTCATCTCAACAACAAACAACAACAACAACAACAACAACAACAACAACAACAACAACAACAACAACAACAACAACAACAACAACAACAACAACAACAACAACAACAACAACAACAACAACAACAACAACAACAACAACAACAACAACAACAACAACAACAACAACAACAACAACAACAACAACAACAACAACAACAACAACAACAACAACAACAACAACAACAACAACAACAACAACAACAACAGCAGCAGCAGCAACAACAACAATTCCCAAACTGCTATCCAATGGCGTACCTCTCACTCGGCTTGTGAGTGCATTCATGGCACGGAGCATTGGGTCTCCGGTGGTTGTCCGTGGCTGTGTTTCTGGTTTCCGTGGCTGTGTTTCTGGCCGGGTCGCGGCTCTTCTGGAGCACAATCCGTTGTTGCAACGCGGTGCGGACGAAGGGCATTTAGTGCATTGGCGACCAGCAGTGTAAGGTTGCTGTCCAACGAAGTTGCCACTAAGATGGGAAATTCAAACAAGAGACAAGTGCAGGAAGCTCAGTCGTAAGCAGTACCCTTACACTCACGTTCACGTCAAGTAACTCCAGTACCAGACTGAACGAAACGCAAATGTAGGATCTACTTCAGTAAGAAACGCTACAAACTACTTGGTGTTCAGCCACCCAGGTCACCCCACCAACTATCTTGTCGATTTAAGAGGTTAGAATGCCGATTATGATGACGTACATCACAAAATAGCATTTTGGTTATGCAGCCAATGCAAGATACTTGTTTGTTTTGTTACAACAGAGGTATTCGTGGCATGGTGGCATGGCGATTGTCTGCTACATAGAATGGACAACGATTACTTACGATGGTCCGTAATTGCAAGTGAGGTACAGTGCAGCTCTGTTCAACCAGCCACTCACTCGAGAACACCTGTACACGCCACAGCCGACTGCCTCCGATGTAGCCCAGACCATCTGCCGAAATGTGCACAATTTGAACACCAACCGTGATTAGACTCCTGAGCTAGAAACTGACAAGTACTGGATGGTATCTTCATTACAATGACAATGCCGGTACAGGTACATGGAGTGAGTGAGTGACCGTAATGTGAAGTCACTAACTTAGCTGTTTGTCCATGCAAGCATTGTGCTGGAGGCTTTTCTCGGGGTAATTACTTAGCACAAGTGGTGTTAGTGGTGTTGGCCAAACAAGCAATAAGTTGTGATAATAAGCAGGGATTAGTGAGCTAAACTGTAGAACACCAGGATTCAGCTGTGTCAGCTCAGAGTGAGAACAGTACCTATAAATAATTATTATACTGGGTTGTAAGGCGTAGCATTGTGTGCGCAGCATAAACTCAAAGTGTGCCCTTTCAAAACTAATAATTATTGTAATCTCCCTATGGCGTTATGTATACTTCAAAGGACGCAGCACACTCCGCTGGTTTTTCCACAGGCCTAGCCTAAATCAAGGAAGTTTCCGTTAGGAGGCACCAGACAACACTAAGCCCGTCTATGATGATATGAACTAAACTGGCTGAAAAACTGGAGAAAGCTGGTCACATGAATGAGAGGTGGTCTCTAAGACAGGTGGTCTCTAAAGAAAGGTGATATTGTATGAAGAAAGTATTTGCTGAACACAGGATCCACTATACCATACCTGTGTGTAGTGGCCACATATTTTGCCGGACTTGCACTGTCGGCTGTTGAAGTTGTAGTCCGCTCGCTCGTCGAAAAAGCCTTTCATGGCATTCTCAATCATGGAGTCTACATTGCTGATCGTATTCACAGCCAAGTTCTCTCCGATCTGAAAGTAAAAAGCGACAAGAAGGCCATGCAGAACACATCAGCTTAGTCCTTTTCTGCCGTTACTCGGAGTTTTTGTGCTAGGAAGCACTCATCAGACAGCATGAAAATGTGATTTACATATACATGTACATGCAGTTGCTGAGACGAGTCCTCCTTCTTCGTCTTCTTACCTGCCAGGTCCTGGTTCCCCCGACACCCTGGAACTGGCCGGTGCGCTGCGAGTTGTGTGCCCAGATGCAGCGCTGCGAGTAGGACTGCGCCACACGAGCTAGCCTGTCGTCCCAGCGCTGCAAAACACGGACAACAAGAAACAGAAGGGAAACAAGCACAGGAAAACCATTAGCCCGTTGATACTGTGTGGCGAAACAGCTTGCTGTCTACAGCATTGGGTACTGTCTGGAGTTTAAACAGGGGTGCAGATGAGTTTGGTGATTTCTTCAACTGGACATGTCCTCATCCTGTTTTGTTTACAACAGCCACTCGCAGCCTGTTCCCTGGCAGCTCAAGCACTGACAACATTCTCTCACTCTCAGGCTAAGTTTCTGTTGCAAACCCCTCGAATGGCTGCTATAAAAATTGTGAGAATTTATGGACTCTTGGTATACAGGCATCATCCACAGAATTACAAGTAGCATCAAATTAATTGTCTCTCAAGTGGCCGGGTCACGTGTGTGTAACAGTGTTACAGTGAGGGCCGTGGTGCTCGAAGAGAGCTCCGAAGAAAATGATCAGAGTCAAAGCATCTGTAGTAACTAGTGGCAGTAGTGGCAGTAGTGGCTTCAGCAGCTGACACTGATTACTAGTAGTAGTACATGAATATGATTGTGCTACTTCAGCGCTCCTTTCTGCATGTACATGTACATGTATATCCATTGGGGATCATTTCAGCGCAGCACGAAAGCTATCAAACAATATGCAAACAAACGATGCAACAATGTCAGTTTCCCTTCTTTCTGTAAGCCTATGAACCAGGCATACTATCACCGATTCTTGTTACATCCATTACCTGCCTTCCTACCACAGGTACGTCGGAGGCTGGAAGAGGATAAGAAACTTGACCAGCTAAAGCCCGCCTTATTCCTTCGCAGCATTTCGGAATTCAGTGTCATCTATCCTAGGCATAGGCACTGCACTAGCCTTTGTGTACTACTCTTAGCTTCTGCTCTTAGTCTTACCATTTCCAGCATGTTGGCTGCTCTGGGTGAGACCTGTCGCCGAAGGTCATTGTGGCGGCGTAAAAGGGTATCCTTCTGACGTGCCGAAAGTTGGCCCAAGGCTTCTCGCCACAGCACAGTCGATACAATGACAAAAGACAAGGCTAGCACAAAGAAACTTGCCATTTTGGAAAAGCTGATAACCCAGTGGAACGTATAATCAAAGTAGAAGAAAGACGAACAATGGAGAAAGAGGTTCTCGTCGAGACTGAGAGGAGACAACACTCTGCTCTGCCGCTGGCAATTTCTACCTTGTGATGGCGATGAAGGTGGCTTATATAGGCAAGGAGGAACATGGAAAATGTATTAATGTCGCAGCCCGGGTATACCATTTCCACTAGTTTTAGGGCTGGACGACACCCACTGCAATTGCGGTGTACTTCGGTCCGTACAGCGAGGGAAGTAGGCGGGGGAAGGGTATGCCCGATCACTCAATAGCCGTGCCTGTGATGTACATGTCCATGTACGTATTCCGACAATGTGATTGTGAGCTTTCACACTGTTTCAGTGTTTGCGTGAGAAATCGCGAACTGTGCGCCAAACGCTGTAATACTATGCTGGGAGGAAAACGTCAGAAGTCTAAGTTCGTGTCCAGACTGACAGGATTTTAAGAGTGGATGGAGCCTTCCCAAGTTCGAGTACTGCATGTATAGGTAGGTGATGCACGCGTGGAGTAAGTGGGGATTGAACTCGGACCAGACAAGCGCCTCTATTACTCTAACACCCGTAAGGCACAATCCTGTCACCTGCTGGAGCGGGCGAGCGCCACCCACCATTGTTTGAACGTCTTTCCCCGAGCGAGCCTCACCACTCTCTCTCTCTCTCTCTCTGCGGCCTTACATTCATTACTGCGGATGTCAGTAATGAGGCATTCGCTCGGTGGATACATGCGCGCAGGATCGCTGAGGAGTTTCCTGTGGAGTTTTTCTGTTTGCTTGAGCCTGATACATTGCATGCGTGTTCAGCCTCGCTTAAGTGCTGCCTGTTCAAGTTACTTGTGGCTAATCAGCAGTGCTTACAGCTAGCTGTAGCTCCTGCAAGAATATGAGGTGGGCGATCGTGGGTGGCCACCAACCATCCTAACTGCAACTACGCAGATCTAGATTCGTACGGTGTGCGCGTGGTGTGCGTGTCGACGAACGGGACCCCGGATAAACAATGCTGTCATTGTACTAATCAATACGTCTAATCCGTCTTTCCCCAGGTTGAAGAGGTTACGAAAGAGGACAGTCTTGTACCACCCTATGACCTTAGGCTGAGTCGGACCTACATTGTACGTGTACATGTACATGTAGATGCATAGAGATATCCTGCACATCTCTGTCTTTCGTGTCAGCGTGGCTGATGACCTCCGCACTGAGCTGACCCTGTGATTTGCACTTGCACTGTGCACTACGGTGCACACTAAGTTAGTCTCTCTCTCTGTCTGTCTGTCTCTCTCTCTCTCTATCTCTCTCTCTCCCCTCTCTGTCTGTCTCTCTCTCTCTTTCTGCCTCTCTATCGATCTATCTTTCTCTCCCCCTTTATCTCTCTATCTATCTATCTACTGTATCTATTCTGTCTATCTCCCTCTATCTCTCGCTCTCACACAGTGCAAGTGTGCGTTACATTCTGTCTACAGGACAGCTGAGGTGATTGCAATATGCAAGACGCACTGTGAATGGTTTTCTCCGCCATACCTTATCTAATGAACTGGCAGACAAGTACTAACTGTAAATCAGCCTGCATGCATACCTTTGGCACAGCTAAGCTGCAGGGTCTTAGATTCATGATAAGGCAGGCGCCTAAGTCTGGTGTACATGTAGCTTATTAAGTTTCTGTCACCCCTTTCGTGTCCGCGAATAACTCAAACATGATGGTGTTGAATTTCAATTTACTCATGCCTGTTAGCATCCCTGTTAGCATCCCTGTTAGCATCCCAGTATGTTGCACCTGTCTCACCCTTAGAAGCCGGCGCATCAGCCACACCACAGTTGCAACAAGTTACATGTGCAATGATCATCCTTTTCGGTGTTGGCCGTGATCATTGGCTACCAACAAACCTTTCGATCCTCATTCAGGACTTAGCATCTTACTGAAACATATCATCGGTGGTTTAAAATGTGCTTTTCAAGCACTCTCCTCGGTCAAAAGGAGTTTTTGAAGGGTGTGTCTGAGTACACCCTTCAAAGCGGTGAACCCCTTGATAGGCGACACGCCTCTGGGTCATCCTAATAAAGATATTATTATTATTATTATTGCGAAGAGCTCCCCTGGCTACAGATCTCAGTGGATTGGTGCTTGAAGAGTGGCAGTACTGTACTCAGATAAACATGTTCGTTTGCATGGATGTACGGATGTGTCCAGCACAGTTCTCCGGGATGACAACAAGAGGTAGCAGGCTGGCTGATTGGGGCCTTCTCAAGTTTCTCTGAACCGTGAACGCCCCCAATCATCACTGCTTTGGCGTCACGCTGTTCAAAATATCGCCGTACAGCAGTTGGAAATGTATGCATACAATCATTAGCACTGTGCATACATGTAACCTGTACTAGTGGACATGCAGGAAGTGAAGGAAGAGTAGAAACATGAGAACTGCTAGGTGAAGACAATCAATCCCACTACGTATAATAATACTCAAATTGTAATAATGAAACGTTCCTTGTGCAACTACATGTACGTGCAGCCAATCAGCCGCAGGCGAGGGAACACAGAAAGCGATACAAGCACAGAGTGGATGTTTGTGATTTGCTTCCGTATCTAATTAGGTAATGAGGCGAACAGGTACACTTGTACATGTTTCCTGTGTTCGGTTACATGCGTTTGCGCACGGTCACAGCTGTACATCGAGCTTGTAAGGTGAACTAATAAAATAATAATTCGGGATAATGCGGGTGTGCCGTCAACATGAACGGTAACAGTAGCTGTTAGCTCGTGTCACGATGATTTGCCAGTGCGTGGTGCCTCTGATACTCGAAGTCACTTGATTTTTTGTTTGTTTTTTAATCATATAGAGTGCAATCAGAGTGCAATTAGACTTCTTTTTAAAGTATTAGAGAGGCATTCCACGTCTTTTGACACGCACAAGAACACGTCGTATTGCCATTAGCATTGATGCGATTCATCCTCGACATGTGGCGCGTGTAAAGTCACATATTTTGCTTTGGCAATCCTGTGAAACGGATAGAATGGGTTCTTCTGGGAATATCTAATTTTATGTCACACGGTTCCTGAGGATATTTGCATCTCCAAAGACAACCATCACAAAGGTATACATTGTACATGTACATGTACATGTATATACCACGAGTAAAACACAGTGGCTCACTTTTGGTCTCTTCCTCCTTGAACCATATGCACACCAGATGTGCAAACGTCATGTACATGTACATGTATGTTGAGACTTTGGGATGTTGCGGGTGCGCTGACATGTGTAACTCATTCATACTTCTAATGGAATTTTCCCTCGCATGGTTCTTCACGTTCTGTATCACAATGCGTAGATTCAACAATGAAGATTATTTTAATAATACATACAAGCCTCTTTTGCACTTCGGATTGATACATGTACATGACTGTATAACACATGACATGATGAAGTACAAGTACAAGTACAGTCATGTACATGTACATGTATGACATTGTAGTGCAAACACCTGATGTACTGGAAATACATGTATCTTGCTAGATCACCACCCTCAACGGGTCTTCCAAAATTAGTCGCGTCTTTTGCTATCCTACAGTTATCGCCCTCTCTTTCTCTCTCCTCCTCTCCCTCTCTCTCTCTCTCCCCCCCCCCTCTCTCTCTCTCTCTTTCTCTCTCTCTCTCTCTCTCTCTCTCTCTCTCTCTCTCTCTCTCCCTCCCTCTCTCTCCCTCTCTCTCTCTCTCTCTCTCTCTCTCTCTCTCTCTCTCTCTCTCTCTCTCTCTCTCTCTCTCTCTCTCTCTCTCTCTCTCGCTCTCTCTCTCTCTCTCTCTCTCTCTCTCTCTCTCTCTCTTTCTTTCTTTCTCTATTTCTCTCTCTCTTTCTTACTCTTTCTTTCTCTCTTTCTAACTCTTTCTCTCTCTCTCTTTATGAAACGCTCAGACTCTAGATATCCGCTGGTCTCGCCAAAACAATGAGATTGACAGTAGCAGCAGCAGCATTCCTTTGGGAAACATCACCCATTGAGCAAGCAATTTCCCTGCGTGATTTCGCTCAGTCTCTCTGCACCTCAGTGTCCCCATCAGGCCTGACCCTACTGTAGGCTAGCACATGCACACGGCACAGGCCAGAGATTGACGGGTTATTTCGCCGCCGCGGCACGCATGCATGCATAATACATGCGCAACATTTGTATTTGTATTTATTCAACATTTCCTGGCTCGTCAAACGACTGCCAATGCCAATGAATGTAAAATGAAGGGTGATAGCCAACCACGGAAAATATCCGAAACAGTAAAACATAATTGCATGGTGACTGTCCGCAGTATTCTAATGTTCCATGACGTTGGGGAAGCAGCGTCCCATTCCAAGCTCGCGCATATCATTTAATGCCGTAGCACCGTACTTAATGTGAATAGGGTTACCTCACATCTCTCTTCACGCTGTGCTTGTGTTCAGGCACACCCTGGGTATTCACTCTGGTGATAAGAAAGAGCGGGAGATGTTATCAACTCAATTGCTCCCCTCCATCCCACGCACACAATATTGTAGTTCCATGAATCCGTACCCTTACCTGTTATCTTTTGATGTACTAGTGTGTGTAGTACTGTTTTGTCGACGGAAGAAACTTGAGGCTGACTGGGAACAGTGCAGATGCCTGAAGAGTGATCAATGTCCTCAGGCAGAGCTTAAAGCTGCTTTCCATACGGCAAGGAGAGAGGGAAGTAAGTAGTTAGTGGACTAGTTATGAGGCAACTCCGAGCTTCAAGGTTGGATGAATCTGTACAAGTGCTCTTACCATTAATTTAACCCGGTCCGGGCCGAGCGTACTGTGTACATGTATGTAGCGCTAGTCCCGAGAATATGGGCAATCTGCTGGTTCAGTGGTTGTGCCTGCGCAATCAGCAAATTGCGCAAATGGATCAACGCAATCTGAGGACTTCTAGTTCTATACATACTGTTTCATACTGTAGAACAATGTAATTTTAGGTGTAGTAAAATTTCAGTATCAGGGACCTGCCAGGTTTCAGGTGTAATGCAGAATTACAATGTAGGTGACCAGCGTTCCCTGCACCTACAGTGCATACTCTAGTGCCATTTAGATGTTTAAGTGCCCGGTTT